TTCTCTCTCCCAAAAGAGCCAGACTGGACTCAAAAATCTTTGAAAACCAACTTCTTCTGAACTTGAACAAGAAATTCTTGCTGCAAAATTAAAATGTTTCAGTTCATGATGTTAGAAGACAAGAGATGTCTCCAAATGACTCGACACTCAGGTCCAAGTTTTGAAAATGGTGTCATGAAGTTAAAATATTGTTCAATATTGACCCATTACAAGGTTGAATAGACAATATTTAACTAGAGTTGATGACAAACTGGAGTTGAACTGATCAGAGTCTATTTCTTTGTTAGGTCTAATGCTCCTTTTTTCAAACAGACAACTTTTACTTAAACGTATTTACTGCAGTTAAAATGACACATTGGTTTTGTTTTGTGTTAAATAAAAACTTTCAAAGGTAAAATCATTCCTCTTTCTTATTTTTGATTAATGTCATTTAACTCTGCAGGTCATCCCTGAAATTCTGACGCAGAATCACAAGTCCAAGTTGAACTGTGTCACAGAGTAAACACAATAAAAACATGTATTATCTGCAGCATCGTTCATTAAAATGGAACAACACTATTAATGTATTACAGAAAATATACATACGGTAGGAATATTTAATGATATTGTAGACCATTGCATTAGGTAATACATTCAGCAAGTACTTTTACTTTTAATACTTTAAGTATTTTTAAACACACGTACTCATTTTGTCACGGTCAGCGGCCCCCGCTGCCCCCCCCATCTTCCTAAGCCTCTGCTCTTTGTGTGTTTTCTGCTTTTGTGTATCTGGTCCTGTTATCCCACAAACTAAATCATTTCCTTCCTTTTCAAGGTGCTTTGTAAATGTGTCACTTTAATTACATTCTGAGTTCTGTTTGACTGGTTCTGTCTCTGTCTGCTCTTTATGTTTTTGTTGTTCTGCTCTGTGTGTGATTTTCTGTTTATCTGATTCTGTTATTCTCCACTCACTCCTCAGTCTGCCTCTCCACTCGATCTTTATCATTCACACCTGTCCCTCATCAGCCACCTGCCCAGGTGCTCTCGTTACTCACTCTCCCTCTGTCTCATAAAAAGCCTGTCTCTCCTTCACTTTTTGTCCGGTGATTGTTCTGTGTTCACAGATGTCTCAGTCCGCCTCTGTCCTGTCAGTTTTTTGTCCATCTGATGATCTGCTCTGCCTAGTTCCTGATCCTGTCTGCCAAAGTAAGGTTTTGCTGCACCGACAGCCTTTTGTTTTGTCATTTAAAAATAAATTATTTTTATTTTGAACTCCTGCCTCGCCTCGCCTCCCTGCATTTGGGTTCCAACCTCGAGGATCGTGACACATTTATTTTACTTAAACTAAAAATGTTAATGTGGTACTTCTACTTTTACTAGAGTACATTTTTGTCTGGTTATTTGCACTTTTACTTAAGCACAGTGTTTAAGTGCTTTCTCCACCACTGACGCTAACAAGGAAATAATTAGAAACACGTGGGAGAGGACAATGAGGGACAGGTGCAGGAGGCGTTGGCAACACGAGGGCGTGCAGAAAAACAAAAGAGGTCACAAGACACAGAACAGACAGATCCTCACAACCACATACTAACTTTCAGCATGGTGATGGAAGGCTGATGATTTGGGCACCTTGCAGTCGTTGAGTCAACCATAAACTCCTTTGTATACCGAAGCACTCAAAACTAGGCAGACGTGAGGCCATCTGTCCGACAGCTGAAACTGAGTCATGTACACAGAACCATACTGTACGGCTGCGCTGGCTGGCCCTGATCCTCATGATCCGCTGTCCTGCATGTTTTAGCTGTTTCCCTGCTTCAACGCACCTGGCTGATATGAATGAGTCACTAACAGTACTCAGCTAAACTCGATGACATTCTGATTGAGTAACTCAGTTATCTGAATCAAGTGGTGAAGCAGGGAAACAGATAAAACCATGAGGGACAGTGGGCTGAGAGGACCAGGGTTGGGGACCACTGAACTTTGAACGTTGTATATGGTAAAATGGACTGTACATATATAACATCTATCTACTCAACATACTCAAAGCTCTTAACAACACAATCTGTGCCTCATTTACCTCCACACACATCCATACAGCACTCTACTACATCTCTACAAAGATAATCTGAATCTGTAGAGATTAATTAGTGCTTTGTCACATTCATACACTTATTGGACACATCGGAGGCAATGAGGGGTTCAATGTCTTGCCCAGGGACACTTCAGCATGTGACTTCTGGTGGAATCGAACCCCCAACTCTCCTATTGGAGGATGCCAGCTCTAACCACTCAGCCACAGCCACCCCCAGCTGAGATAAATTGTTGATTATAGGTGTGATTGATGAATTGTCAGGTGTTTAATGAGGGAAACAAAAATTAAGCCATTTATATTAAAGTTAGACCTTTTTTTTTAACCCACAACAGATCTTTGTCCCATAATGTTTACGGAAATAAATTGACCACTTGTTTTACTTTTACTTTAGGTTCACAAAATAAAGCAATTAGTTTTGTTGGAGTCTGCTCTGTCCTTTTTAGATTTTGTCTTAAAAAGGGGAGTTTCTACTTGTCCATGCATGATTTTAGAAAAAAAAAATCCTCACCATAAATTAAAACTGATTACACTTTACAAATAAATAAAAATTGTCTATTTAGCACAAGTCTGTTTATCATACTCAGTATCTGTTATGGATCTTTTAATATGTGAATATAAGATAGCTGCAACTGTACCTCCTGACCTCTTCTTGTTTATAATTCTATTTTTCTGTAAAGCCTCAAGTCTGAGCAGCTTAGGTCAGTAAATTACATAATCCATGATTATCCCTCATGTTTGCTTCCCTTGTTAGTTTGTTGTGATGTGAATCCAGTTTTAACAGGGGAATTTTACACAAAACTGTCAAAGTAGTCGTCCTATGCTTGACTATCAGCATTGGTGTCAGAAGCATTTGTAATGGGGGGGGGGGGGGGGGGGGGACCGGGGGGGGGGGGGGGGTGGGGGGGGGGGGGGGGGGGCTAGGGGTTCTCCCCCAGAAAATGTTGAATGCAGTAGATGTCATTTTTTGCATTCTGGTGTATTTTAACATGTTGTTAAACATTTATGTTTACTTCCATACGTAAACTCTTGATTCAATAATTATTTTAGAAAGCATGGAATGACAAGAAGTAGCCTGGCCAACAGTTCTCCTTTTGTGAATAGAGCATGCTCCACTTCTCATTCTAACTCTCCCACCACCCCCGCCAACAACTGCCAGCACTAACATAGTGCTAAGCTAGCGTGCAACACAGAAGTGTCGCCTCCTCCTCCCCCCACCCCATTGACAAAACCCCCAAAGAGATGAGCGCCCTGCCAAGCCAAGTGACCTCGGAGAAACACTGCATGTGGTGAGTTGTTGTTGGTAACCAGGAAAATCTGGAGTTGACTTTTAGACATGTGGACATGTCAGAGCGGGGTCCAATGCAGGCAGAAGCAGGGGAAGAAATTAATGCGCTTTGAGGGCTCCTCAGCTCTGATCTTCTGCCCCCTTTACTTAGCTGCGTGCGTCCGTCAACCTTTAATAATAGTCGGTGGTATATAAACAGTCAAAGCTTAATTAAAAATGTCGGGGGGGCTTGGGTTTGGACCAATACTGTTGATTCGTCGGAATGAATGGGGTTCGGAAATTGTGGCTACGGGCTGGTGCCGGATTGGATATTTTGGACCCGAGTGCAAATCAACTTTATACTCCCTACTCTCTGTGTTTGAATTTAAAGTTATGGCTGTCAGGAACATTGGACTCTCATTTTGTTTTTTCCCAACAGAATCTACATCTGTAATAATACTTGTTAGTTTGTCTATATCCCCTTCCTGTACTCATTACCCCAGCCAATCAAGGCAGATGGCTGCTCATCTTGGTTCTGCTAGAGATGTGTTCCTGTTATAAGAGGGTCATTCCTCACCACTGTTGTCCATTGCTCTGTGCTTACTCTACTCAGGATGGGCTCTGCACTGAAGTGAAAGTTTGACTTGCAGTCTGCTTGTTTGCCTAAATAGGCAACTTCTTACTGAGTGCAGTTTTGTAATACACTAAATCTAGCTCTATTGTATTATAACTGGACTGTAATGGGATTAAAATATGCACCTCTTTACAGTTATTTTCCTAAGATGACACTTGTTGAGAATTGACCCTGTAGAAATAAAATGAACTTAAATAAATATTTTAACAATTTTTTCTTGCTATTCTTATCCTTTTCCACACTGTCCCTAACAGACGATTGGTATCCCTCCTCATCTTTCCTCCATGTTCCTCTGCTGAGGCTGGACACTTAGGAATAAGGACCCTGCTGTAGCTAACAGATGGTCATCGGAACATGGCTTACATAGCAGCACACACACATACACACATGCACAGAGACAAGTATCAAACAAGTAATGCATGTATTCAGTCAGTGGTTAATCAACTTCAACTAATATTTATACATATATATATTTTTTTCAATTAAACATTCAGTAAAAGTCGTGTTATTGGTGCAACCTCTAAATTTTGCCCTTGTTGTGCAGAGATAGTCCACCCACATGGTACACACTCCTGAGCACCTGTCACACACACACACATAATTACCATTATCTTAATCAGTTATTCTTGCCTGAAGCACACACAGCACGCATATAGAGAGATTTATTTCTGTGCAAAGGATAAAAAATAGAATACTGCAATGAAGAGAGAAGCTGCAACTAAAGGAGTGAATAATGATGTAAAGACCGTAACTGAGAAAAGAAAGACAAGGATTCTCCCACACATTCAGACAAAGTCCAATCACACACTCACCGTGTCGTGGCTGCATCCAAACACTCGTAGCACGGACGAGGCCAGCTGTGAGAGGAAGCGGTGGGACATCTTGGTGTGTGTGTGTGTGTGTATGTGTGTGCGTGTAATGTCAGTGTAGCTGTGATGACTGAGGAGTTACATTCTCATCACAATGCAGTTGGAAGCTGGTAGTTGTCAGTACGAGACTCTGAAATCTGTGGTGATTCAGGGCTGTCCTACCTTCCCTTCGCAGGGCACCTCCCCCTTCCTGGTTGCCGTGGCATCGTAAGGCGGCGCTTCATGGAGAGGACAGCTTGATTGGCTTGATGTGCGAGAGGAGCTGGCAGAACCTGTTGGGAGGAACACGATTGGCTCGTTACAAGCCGTCTTTATATATTTTCATCAATCAACAGATAAAGTTTACTCATCTCGCTATCTGACCTCCCCCCTCCTCCTCCTCCAACTGGATTCTGGTAAGTCATTGCTTTGACAAACAACCAATCAAAATCTTGCCTTTAAAAATACAACAATATTCTGAACCAATTGCATCCTTCTACACTTCCTCCCACATCCCCTGCCTTGGCCATCTGTGTACCCAACAAGCCGAGATCTGTGTGTGTGTGTAGAAGTGACATTTTTTTCAAAGGCCAGACATTTAAGACGCATGCTTTCTAACTAAGAACTATTTGCTTTTTATATTTTCGTCCCATCCCTCTGTTACCAGCTTTATAACAATTCCAGGCTTGTTCACTGTGATTCTCATCAATAAAGTTTAAGGTCTATAATAGTCGGAGGGTCGAGACTCAAGCTCCTTCGTCTTGCCTGCAGGTTGGTCCACAGACTTCGACTGCTCCAGTAAATGCTCCTTGGCTTTGGTAGATTGGGACAAGACAGTGGCCAGAAGCTGCAAACAGACACATTTATTAGCACCGATACTCACTGACATAAATATTCAGTTAGCAAACTCATTTAAGCAACATCATTAAGGAATGCATGATCACTGCTTAAGTATTTTTTTGTGTTAATACAAAAGCACAAGTTACTGATATTGTGGCTACAAGCACTGGTATTCACCCCAGTTTTGTTGAAATTGTGTTAATTCTCAACTACAACTAAGTGACAGACTGATAAAGTCATTAATGGCAAATGGTAAATAGACTGTACTTATAGAGCACCTTTCTATCTTATCAAGACCCTCAAAGCTCTTTACATGACAACCTGTGTCCTCATTTACCCATTCATACAGCACTCTACTAGATCTCTACAAAGCTAATTGAACAAATCATTCTAAAGAGACTGATCAGTGCTTTAGATCATGATTCACATTCATACACCAATGGGACACACATCAGAGGCGATGAGGAGTTCAGTGTCTTGCCCAGGGACATTTCAACATGTGATGGCTGGTAGAGTCGAACCCCCAACTCTTGCATTGGAGGACGACTGCTCTAAACACTCAGCCACAGCCATCCCATCATTAAAAAAACATCTACTGAGTTATTGCTGTTAAAGCTGTTAAATAACGGGATTTCCAAGTAGTCTTTGTTTTAATGTAATAAGTGCTGACAAGGTTGAATCTGTTGTTTTTGTTCACTTGCCGTGATGCTAAAAATGTCATCAACAAGCAGTACGCAGATGTCCCCCATTGTTGAGGGACTACAAAGCTCTCAACAACCTAGCTCCATCTTATATTTATTATATATTGAAGATGGCGCCCGTGTACATGGCTTGCAATCCTCCTCTGCTGATGGTGTTCGGATTATTTGTGTTTTGTTCGTTTTTTATCTGGGACGTAAACTCGCTGCTGGTGTATGACCGACAACAGCTTCTGGATCTTCGTTTTTCTGCTGCCGATGTCGCTTATTTGGACCAATATGAGCGTACCTCTGGACCCCCCCCCCCCTCCTCCTCCCCCCCTGCTGGCGAACATGCCTGTTTACCTCCGCTGCGCTCTTCACCTCCCTGCCCGGAGACATTGCTACAGACGCCGGGGAAAACGTGCTGGGCGACTGATAAAGCTTAAAGCCCTGCGCGCTGCATCTTCCTCTTCAGCTGGTGGTCAGGGTTTCCATCGCCAGCTTCCCGCATGCCCGGACCAGGTAAACAACGGAGGGGCTGTTATTGAAAACCTGCAGCCATTGGGGCGCGCTAACTCCACCGCTGCTGGATCCACTTTGGACAGTATCTGGATGTGTTTGGTCAACGCAAGATCTATTATCAACAAAACTTATATCCTCAGGGACTACTTTCAAGAGCACAATATTTGGACTTTTTCTGCATCACAGAGACTTGGATGTCTCGGGGTGAGTCCAACGCCTTGACGGAATTATTGCCACTGAACTGTCTGTATTTTAACGCACCGCGGCCATCAGGCCGGCGCGGTGGTGGATTATTAACAATATTCAAACCAACTTTTGACTGTAAACAACTGCCCATCCCAGTTTCCCGCGCCAGCTTTGAGCTGAGCGTCTTTGAACTCGGCCATTCGCCTTCGACTTTATGCGCACTCGTCTACCGCCCACCTCGGTCTAAGGATTTCATAAATGAGTTTTCTGACTTCTTAGCTGAAATCACACCAAAATATAATCATGTTTTAATTATTGGGGACTTTAATTTACATGTGTGCTGTCAGGAGAAGCCCTTGGTTAAGGACTTTTTAGATTTACTGGACTCATTTAATCTAACGCAGCATGTAAACGGTCCCACCCAAGAGCGCAGACATACACTGGACCTTGTTTTAACTTGTGATGTGACTGTTAGTGATCTTGAAATTGGTGATAATGTTTTTTCAGGCCACATGCCAGTCTAGTTTGAGTTCACCCTCCCCCATCTAACTCCTAAGCCGTGCATTCCTGCACGTAGTAGCCGGGCCATTAACCAATTCACTGCCGCACGTTTCACAGATGTTTATAACTCTGAAATGATAATTCAGCCCCCGGTGTTTCTCACCTCCACGGAGGCGCTGACATCCCAGTTCAACTCTGTCTGCTTAAAGACTCTGGATCATGTCGCTCCGGTTAAAACTAGAAAATCAAAACTCAGAGCAGAACCTTGGCTGAGTGACGTCACCAAGGCCGTTAGGCAGCAGTGCAGGAGAGTGGAGCGAAAGTGGAGGACAGACAGGCTGCAGGTCTCTTTCCAAATACTTAAAGAGAGTTGGCGCCATTATCAGAAAGCAGTAAAAGCTGCTAAATCCAAATACTTTTCTGATATCATAACCTCAAACTCTCACAACCCACGTGTCCTCTTCTCTACCCTAAACTCTGTTCTCCACCTCACTGAACCATCACCTCTGGAAGCCTCGACTGAGCTGTGTGAGAACTTCCTACATTTCTTTTTGGAAAAAATTGCGACCACCCGGGCTCTCATTTCCTCTCCAACTCATGACCCATCCATCCCACCTCAATCTGTAGCTCTATTTGACCATTTTGAACCCATCACTCTATCTTCTCTAGAGCAGGTCATGTGCAGCTTGAAACCTTCTGGTTCCCCCTTTGATGTGGTCCCCCCTTGACTACTAAAGGAGGTTTTTCCTACTCTAGGTCCGTCCATTCTTGCTATAGTAAACAGTAGTTTATCCACTGGCGTGGTGCCAAAAACCTTTAAACATGCTGCTGTCCAGCCTCTCCTGAAAAAACAAACCTTGACCCCTCAGTCGTTTCCAACTTCCGGCCTGTCTCCAAACTCCCATTTGTTTCTAAAATACTGGAGAAAACAGTTGAGTCCCAGTTGAAGTGCTTCCTGGAGGATCACTCCATCTTAGAGCTATTCCAATCTGGCTTTAAACCTCTCCACAGCACTGAAACTGCCCTATTGAAGGTTTTTAATGACATCTTCAGATCCACAGATACTGGTGATTCTGTGCTGCTTGTCCTATTGAACCTCACAGCCATCTTTGACACCATCAACCATGAGATCCTCATTGCTAGGTTGGAGCAGTGGATGGGCATCACAGGGTCAGCCCTCAATTGGTTCAGATCACTGACAGATCCTTTTGTGTCTCCATCAAGGATTTTAGTTCCGCAGAGGCAGAGCTTAAATGGGGGGTTCCGCAGGGGTCCATACTGGGTCTCCTCCTATTCTCTTTATAACTGCTACCACTTGGTGCTATTTTCCGGAAACATAACATACCATTTCACTTCTACGCCGACGACTGTCAAATTTACTTCCCCCTAAGACACAATGGTATATGCTCTATTCAACCTCTGCTCAACTGCCTGGCTGATATCAGGGACTGGATGGCTTTAAACTTCTTACGTTTCAATGAAAAGAAGTCTGAAGTCATGTTGTTCCCTCCCAATGACACAATCACAAACCACTGCATCAACCTTTCCACTCTAACCCTGTCAGAAAAACAAAGAGTCACTAATCTGGGAGTGATAATGGACCCTTCCCTGAAACTTAACGATCATGTAAACATGATTGTTAAATCATGTTTTTTCCAACTGAGGCGGCTGTCTAAACTGAAGCCCATATTGTCCAAAAATAACCTGGAGACAGTAATACATGCATTCATTACATCTAGGCTCGATTACTGCAATTCGCTCCTGTTTGGTATCAGTCAGACCTCCATTGCACGACTACAACTGGTCCAGAATGTAGTAGCCCAATTTTCAACCAGTACAGGCAAAAGAGAGCACATTACACCAGTTTTGGCCTCCCTGCACTGGCTACCGGTTCACCTTCGAATCCAGTTCAAAATACTGGATTGTATGTCTACAAATCGCTGAACAGTTTAGACCCCCCCCCCCATCTCTCTGATCTGCTAGAACCGTATGTCCCACCACGTTCCCTGAGGTCAGCGGACCAATTGCTCCTCAAAGTTCCAGGAACTCGTCTTAAGCCCAGAGGTGACAGGGCCTTCTCTGTAGCAGGACCAAGACTTTGGAACGAGTTACCTCTGCTAGTCAGACAGGCCCCCTCCCTCTCGGTTTTCAAATCCCGTTTAAAAACTCACTAATATTCAGTAGCTTTCAACACCAGATGATCTGTGTTTTGAACCTGTACGCTCCACACTGGTTTGTCGTCACATTTATTATCTGCATCGTTTTTATGTCTATATTTTTGATCTACTTCATTGTGTATATTGCTTCATGTGTTGTCTGTTGTTCTGTCTGTACAGCACTTTGGTTGACCTTGTAGCTGTTTTAAGTGCTCTATAAATAAAATGGTATTCAATTAAATTCAATTCAAAAATACTTTATTAATCCCAGAGGGAAATTATTTGTTGTTGTATCTCGTTATCCTCATTTTATTAAGAGATGTTATAGATGCTCATGGCTGTAGACAGGAAGGATCTCTTGTAAAGGTCCATCCCACAGTGGATCTTAAGAAATGGGCTGCAGATGCCATCCGATCCGTCCACCCAGACTCAGCTGGCCTCTCGGTTCCCCTCGGGCTGTTGGACTGCCCAAATGCTGGGCAGAACTCCTCCCAGAGCGATGGCCACTCCTCCCAGCAGTCTGTGCCGAGGGACGATCTTGTTCTTCCACTGCCATGAGCAGTGTCTCCCGCCAGCTCCAGGATACCAGTGGTCAGGCACCCGAGCACAGCTGGTAGGCAGATGAGAATGTGTCCACAAAACATCCTTTTCAACTCACTTGAGATTTTGTGCTGTAGTTGAGATATTATTTGAGCTTTGAGATGTTAATCAGTCGCTGTTGGTTGTAGAAAACTGCCTTGTTGCCATGGTTACGCATCATAACAAATGTCCAAAACTAAAAAAGTTTCAGTAAAAATCCTTCCAGCTGCACAGCATCTGATACCAGAGGAAACAGTCATCCAAAAATTTGTGATTTACACCCAGAAAAAGAGGAATTAAAGTTTCCAAAAGCAAAATCTCAGAATGAAAGTAACAGAGCTGCTCCAACATGCAGCCACCTTGAGCGGTGCGATTCTAGAACAGGTATGGTATGGTATATTACAGATCTTATTGTTCCATATTTTCCTAACAGAGCCCTTCACTCTCAATCTGCAGGTTTACTTGTGGTTCCTAGAGTTTCCAAAAGCAGAATGGGAGAAAGATCTTTCAGTTATCAGGCTCCTCTCTTGTGGAACCAACTTCCAGTTTCTGTCTGTGAGGCTGACACATTGTCCAGTTTTAAGAATGGGCTTAAGACTTTCCTTTTCAATAAATCCTATAGCTAGGGTCAGCTTTGGTTTCCTGAGCTATCCCTTAGTTATGCTACTATAGGCTTAGACTGCTGGAGGACAAATTGACCACATTTCCTCACTCTGCTGCTGTCTTTACTTGTTCTGCTCTACCTGTTCTCATTTGTATTTGTAATTATTTCTATGTTAACATGTTTTTTGTCTTTCCTTCTATAGAAAGTACACCTGGACCTGTCATTCTGTGTTTCTTCCTCCTTCCTGTCCTCTTAAACCCCAGCTGGTCGAAGCAGATGGCCACTCGTCCTTAGCCTGCTTCTGCTGGAGGTTTATTCTTGTTAAAAAGGAGTTTTTCCTTTCCACTGTCTCCTTTGTGCTTGCTCAAGAAAGGAGACTGTGACAAAGTGAAGATTCAGTGCAATCTGCTGCTTCTTTAGATAGAGAACTTTTACTTTTCAGGATGCCTGTTTTTCTAGACTGGAATTTAAAAAGGAATGCACTTCACCACTTGCTCTTGCCGAGGTTGGATGCTTTTCCCCTCCTCTCCCTCTCCAAACTTTGCTGTTCTGTTTTGTCTGTGAAACTGCTTCTGGGTCTCTCTCTGCATATCTTCCGAACCATAATTATGGACTTGGAATTGGTCAGTTGGTCCCTCAACACAATTGATAACATTTCTTCGAAGAGAAGACAGGCTTTAGGCGAGACGATTTGCCCTGTTGGCACCCACGCAGCTGGATATCTCATCGACTTGGAAGACTTGATGAAGTGTCTATCTCTGCTGCCATTTGTGGATTTTAAGGACACATTTATAATTAGGGATGGGGCCGATCTGGTCTAGTATCGGTATCGGGCTCCGATACCAGCATAATTTACGTATCGGATTTTCCGATCCAACCTGCCAATATTTCCAATCCATGATGCATGTCTGTGATTGCGCTGCACGTTGGCTTCAAACAATGGAATGGATTTCCTGAACGGAGGCGTGTCTCATGAGCCCAGAGTAATAAGATCCGCCTCACATTCAGGAATTCCATTTCATAGTTTGCAGACAGCTACAACATGAGGACTGAGTTAGCAGCACTGTGGCTAACGGCTAACCAACTTTTCATCTAAACATGTCCGCCGTGTGGAAAAATTTTACACTAGAAACACCACAAAACAAGACAGCAACGTGCAATGTCTGCAGAGTCATAGCATCATGTTAAACCATGGTAAAGTTAGGTTTATGATGGACCTTCGAGCTCCGGGGCTTCAGCGGTCTGTTATTTCCGTTCAGTACGGAGAAGGCAGTCTGATTTCGGTCAGCCATGCTCAGTCTGATTTCGGTCAGCCATGCTCAGTCTGACCCGCTCAGCCTGTCTGTGTCGGAGGAGGGGCAGACTGAGCGCGGCTGACTGAGATCAGATTGCTTGCATTGGATTGAACAAGAAAAACACATCGCTGAAGCCCCGGAGCTCGAATGTTTACAGAGAAGCTGTTAAACTTCATCGTAATTAATGACAAACCACTATCAGTTGTAGAAAACGAAGGATTTCGCAGCTTGATACTTGCAGCCAAGATATAGTTTACCCTCCAGGAGATATTTATCAGTACAACAGTAGACAATCATAAAAAACATGATCGGAAAATTACAAGAAAATTATATATATATATATATATATGTATAAACGAAACAAAAACAGCTATATTATAAAGTGATGCAAATCACTAAAAACGGGAACATGTCTGTTGGTTTATGCCATAAACTTAGCAAATGTTTAACGCCATTTAACATTTTATTTTATTCATTTATTCATTCATTTAAAAGAAACGAAACAAATTCATCAAAAGGAAACATTGAATGAAAAGAGTGCAGAAAGAAGAAAAATCTTATATTTGCCTCTTATTTAAAAAAATATAAAATAACGTTTTAAACAATCACTTAAATTAATCACTTTAATATCCACTTTAAAGCTAGGAATAAAAAGAAACATGTTTTGTGTTAGCAGAATTTAATTCTAACTTTAAAACTTATCCAACATTAATAAAACTTACCTCAAGTTGCCTTTTTGAACATGCATGCATATATTTGTACAAATTGTACTTGAGAGGAGACTATTACAGCCTCATATAAAATCAATGATGATGATGATATCAGAACTGGATCGTTATCGGACGATATTTAGATTTAGGTATCGGGATCGGATCGGAAGTTAAAAAAAAAAAAAGTGGATCGTGCATCCCTATTTATAATTGGATTTATTATAACTGATTCCTGCTTTTTGGATTCGGCTGGTTCCTGGTTTATCTACAATCAAGGAAGTCGTCGGCAGCAAATTGGGACCCGATCACACTGCTTGCCTTATGATGGCTTGGTTCGTGCCTCAAGCACCCAGACTCAAATGCTTTTGGCAGAATGGATCAGATCTCGGGGATTATTCTCAGGCATGATCTATTGGTGTGGCCATTTAATTTGGACGTTTCATAACCGAGTGGACCAACATAGACTCAAGGTAGATGTCATTAAAGTTCTGCCTGTCCCCAAAACAATTGTGTGTTTATCTGAATTTGGCTCCCTTGGCTGGCCTTGCAGGCCATCATATCTGAATTTGCCTGGAGGACATGTAATCTGACACTCTGCCACGCCTCACCCCCCACCCCCACCACCATCGAGGAATTCCAACTGGTCAATCTGAGGAAACCAGCTGAATAAACATTGTGCCATCATTTCAGGACTCTTGGATTCCCATAGGTGTTGCCCTTGGGCCATAACCCGACATCCCTCGAGAATGTTTACGGATCTCACCAGAGGAAACTGGTTGATTTTTCCATCCTTATCAGAACTCCTACAGTGCCCTGAAGAGCGTCCTTGGACATGCTTAGCACTCTCGTTGTCTCCCCCCACTCTGCGGAATGTCTATGTCACCATGTTCTTGTACAAAGTATGTGCGAGGTGTTTTTTCAATATTAGTTTTTCTTCTCAGCCAAGAAGAAAGAGTTTGATAGGATTTTTTTTGCCTCCACTTCCTACATGTGTCCAGTTTCACTACTTTTTTGTCTGTCTAAACATATTTCACTTGTAAATGAGTCTTTGAAGCTCAATGTGATTTATCTGTCTAAATAAAGACTGAATTGAATTGAAAAAAGTAAACCTTAATGTTTTTGGTGCTAAATAATCAAATGGGTAGGAGTTACACTGTGTAGAAGAAGAGAGGTAGGTTATTGTCTCATGCAGCGCAGAGTGATGGATCCTGGTGAGTGAAGGGATCAATTTAATCTATGGCCAGGTGCAATGGTGGTCTTGGCTACTATAGATTAAACTTTGGCCAACCCAATCATTTGAAGAAACTGTACTTTTAAGCAATATATAAAGTAGAAAGCACAGGTTCCTCAAATGACTGGGGTGGCTGGTTTACATCTATATACGGTATTCATGGTGGGCATCTTGAATTTTGACATGGCAACCAAATTTTTGATAGTGACCTTTATTACATATACCGGTAGATGCAGCCAAATACCAAAATGGGAGTTGGCACATTCCTTGTTCTTCAAGTTATCCAACTCACAAGATTAACATGCATAGATATATGGCGTAAACCATCTTGGATTTTGATGTGGCAATGCAATTTTTTGAAAATAACCTGTTTTACGTCTAGATGCAGCCACACACCAAAATGGAATTCAGTACTTATTTTCCAAGTTATCTTGCTCACAACACGGATGGAAAGTTTGTCAAATTCCCCCCTTCACTCTGCAACAAGACAATAAAGGAGGGTAGACTTTGGGGGCAGCTGTGAATGAGTGGTTAGAGCAGTGCCCACTAATGGGAGAGTTGGGGGTTCGATTCCGCCAGCAGTCACATGCTGAAGTGTCCCTGGGCAAGACACTGAACCCCTCATTGCCTCTGATGTGTGTCCCATTGGTGTATAAATGTGACAAAACACAGATTATTCTTTGTAGAGATATAGTAGAGTGCTGTATGAATGTATGTGTGGAGGTAAATGGCACAAATTGTGTTGTAAAGAGTTTTGAGTATCTTGATTAGATTAAAAAGGTGCTAAATAAGTACAGTTCATTTATCATTTTCCATTTACCTTCTTTTCCCATGATTATAAATAATAAAGTTTTAGCCAGAATTCTTCATCGTTATGTTTACAGTAAAGTTACATTATGGGTGTGTGTTACCTTCACACCCTCAGCCTGTGCATGGAGGATGTGTGCGGCACTGCCAGCACTCTGACCGCTGCCTGAAGATCTCACACTGGTCACACTTCCAGAGCTACCCACGCTGCTGCGATCTCCACCTGCAACACACAAACACATACACACATGCGCACCAGAACGTACATGTGCAATCACACATTCAAGCAGACGCCCGTACAGTATTTACAGAGGTTTTTGTGACATCAAACACATGCAACAGATACGTAGATGCATCCAGACACACATAGACGGACACACATTCACCCACAGAAGGGTTTAGGTTCTATCTGAAGCTGCACTGAGATGTGACTCTCCATTGAAATGCACTGGGCAGCATGTGGCTGGATGACAGGACGGACAGACAGACGACTGAGTGACGAGCACAAAAGTGGATTTAAGTCATGCCGCACACTTTACACCAATCGAACACACATCATCACTTCTCTCCCTCTTTATGTCTCTCTCTTTGTTGTCCTCCAGCATCCCAGCACAACCAATCTGAGAGATGCTCACGCACACAGACTAATGCAAATGCCTGTAGCCTACACATTAGACCTCTGAGGTCATCTAAACTTCAGATGGAGGGATAGGCAGGACACGGAGGTCAAACAGTATCTGAAAGTCTTCAAGCACCATCATCTCCTGGCTAAAACAAACCCATGGGAGGGTACCGCTCTTGGAGAGAGTTGTAAAACCACAGGCTCTTGCGAACAGCGGTGCGAGGTTGAAGAGTCTGCCAATGGACGTCAGATACTGTTTGGCCCCAGGTCAGACCTTCGGGAGTCAGAGGTTGAGGGCTCAGCGCAGCGAGGCTTAGTTACCTGCCACGGGCTTGCGCAGAACCCAGATCTCTTCGTTGGAGCCTCCATGGGGCCCGCTGGATGGGGTGGGAGAACTGTGAGGACTTGCCTCTGACCCTCGATAACCTTCAACACAGAACACCACCGTTAACCTCTAACCGGCCCCTGATGTGGCCTGAGAAACCGCTGTCTCGCAGTCAGAGCTTGGCTTTAAAAGGTAGCAACAACTGATTTTAAAAATTAATTAGTTTGTTTGGGTGTCGAAATGCTGCATTGGCATGTGTTAGCTGTCTTACTTATCGTATCGCGAGACATTTTCCTGACTTGTTTTCTGTCACTTGGAGTCATCATTTCTACCACCTACAAACTAAAAGCTCAACGTCAAGGAGAAATGCACTTTAATATTAACTGTCTATCGGATTGTCACAGCCGGTAGCCACTTGTATATTGGTTCATGTTACTTTCATGTAAAGATATATGCAACTTTATCGTGAAAAACACCATTTATACCTATAAATCCAATATGGATGTTACAATAAAACAACCTGACAGATTGTAGCTACTGAATGAAGTCTTGGATTGTTAAAGATTTCATGATGCCAAACATGTTTTGAGAAGTTATAAGAAACTAAACTAAAAAGTGTTTTAATAAAATAAAAATAAAAATCCAAGTTTATATCAGTTTAATGTCACACAAGTAATACTGGTTTGTTACAAAAGTTTACAATAACCGGTGGTGGGTTTGTTGAGTTACTGGGGCTGGGTGATCATATAACCTGTGTGTTAGTTCATGTGTCTCTGGGTGTTTGTTTATTTGTCAGCAAAATATGTCATGAACCAATGGATGATTTTAATTACATTCACAGGATGTCGATCTACATCTGAATAAGTGTTGGAGTCAACCTGATTTAAGATGGCTACTTTAGCCAGTTGGTCTTAGAAAACACTAAAAATTGCTAAGGATCAGGTTGTCTGAACAGATATTTAGGTAAAACGTGGCATGGTGTTATTTAAGACTCATCTCCAACAAATGCTGTTATCATCTGTGAGACATCTTTGATGAGATGCAATCCTTCAAGGAATGCTAGGTTTTAATTTTTCTATTTTTTTTATCATAAATGTATCATTCAGTATTGGAAATAGAAGTTGGGAATATAAAAAAAGGTCTAATAGTTTTAGAAACCAGCTGGTAAGAAATCCTTACATTACACGTTTTGACTACAGCTAATAATATATGTAGTGCAGTTCCTAACAAATACACTGAAGTACACTTAATGAATAAAATTAACATATATCTGACCTTGCTGCTGTCAAAGGTTTTATGTTAAAGTAACATGCTAGCTGAAATTTGAAGCCTTTTTTTTAACTAAATTAAACCTGGAAAACCTTTGACTGCATAGGTTACGGTAAGTTTTTTTTGTTAATTTTACTACATTTGTTGAATATTTAAACCTCAGAGTAACAAAAACTATAGAGTTTTCAGCACAAGTATGCCGTCATCTGTAAAATCCATTGAAAGAGCCAAGTTTGTTTAGTAATTTGCCCTATTTTTAACTGAAAGGGCATTTTTCAAATAGGAAAACGGCAGATCGGCCCGTTAGATAACATAGAAGTTTAAAAAGTTTAAAACCTTCATTCACACCAAGTTTTCTACTTCACACAAGCTTACTTTCTCTCCCACACAAAGAAAAAATACAGCATATATATAAATATATGAACACATTTATATACTGATAGTATACATTACACAAATATCTGTGTATATACACATATAATGTACATACACGTACATATATAATGCATCCATACGTGTGAGATTATATATGTTGGACTTCTAAGAATGGGGCCGAAGTGCATTTGGAGAGTGTCATAAACCATTAAAACCATCCTAAAAAGGGTTCATTAATGGTTTATGTGTGAAACCAACAGTGCTCCATAGAAACACACATAAATCAGATGTTTTCATGTGATTACTCTGCCATTTTACACCCCTCCAACAGACGTCAGGAAGAAGTCCAAACTGAGAATCAGCGGCTTTCAGTTTGATTGAATCATCTTTGATTTTGTTGTTTTCATCTGAGATCAAGACCTAATAAATATATGAGCTGAAAGTAATTATTAAGATGAAATGAGCCTAAAGAGTTAGTTTTTTTATTCTCTTGGAGGGTGCAAAATAGTGTCAGAAAAAGAAGAATTTAGCAGTCAGTGAATATCTTACCTGCAAATGATAGAGGGCGACATTTTCCAACAAAACCTCATTCAACACCAGTTTGTGACTGGATCATTGTATTATTTTAGCAAGTTTTACTTTAAAATTTTTTACTCATTGATTCAAGAAAATGAAATTACTGGTTATAAAAAAAGTTTTTTGCAGGCTTTCAAAATAAGACAGAAAATGTCGACCTTTTGTTATCGTTGAAACTTTTGCTTTTAGAAGTAATATCACAAAATAAACCATTTTAAACAAAAAAATTGTTTGAAAAACTTGTTTTCCTCAGATTAATACATCTATCTTGACCCATGTTACACCTGGGTAATTTAAACTGGGTTTTTCATAATAAAAGTTTGAATACATGTGCAAGAAAATTCTCTTAAAGTGGAAGTGCCTGAGTTGTTGGTAAGTTTGCAAATAAACCCATTTCAATAACCAAAAATATTTCTTAAAATTACTACAAGGCTTAGCATGGACAATACAGTTTCCACCTGTTTTTCTTGCTTTTTAATGAAGTATTCTATGTATTTACTGAAATAACTAAACACACACACATTCTACGTGTAAGGACATTGTGGGTAGAAGGATTGACGATGACGACATAAAGAACAAGGACTCAGTGGATAACAGCCTGAACGGGAAAGAGTCGTGTCTGGAGGGGTATCTGTATGAGAACTAGCAGCTAACTGCTCAGTAAGTGATGAAAGGCTGGGGAAGAGGAAATCAAAATGAGAAAAGAAGTTAGAAATCATTAGGAATAAAACAAAAATAAATAAGGAAACCCAGACTGAATTACAAACCAACTCAGGAAAACAAAGACATGAGAGAATGACAAACATTTTCTCTTATTTTAAACTTCTACAATCAAATTCTGAAAATGTTACAAAACTGTCCAGATATGCTATGATCTGATGACGTGCCTTCATTTTACTAGGGAGCCAGTGTTGATTTGCAGGTGACTGAGGCGGCTTCATGTGGTGAAGTGTACCTGAAGCTATGGGTGCTTTCAGACCAAACAGTTCCAAGGACTCTTTGAGATATAGAAGAATGGCTCGACCCACCCATGGTCCTCAGTGGACCACAGTGGCAGTTTATCCATGTTGTGGGGCTCAAATAACATTTATACTGATAGTATTACTGAACATAGACAACAATTCAACAGAGCAGAATTGGTCATGCTAGCCTCATGCTAGGCTCAAAGTGGGCTCATTACGAGATCATGGAAATAACTAGAAAGTTCCTGGAGAAACTTTGACGGGGACTGCCACGTGGCAAGCATTTTAAAAGTTAGATGACAAAAATGCCTACGTTTTGATATATAATATGTGTATCTTAAAAGATGTGGTGGTAGGAAGTTTGTTTGACGACTTACTGAGTTTTGTTCAGAGATCTCTTCACTAGGTCATGTGACCTCACTGTGGCAGTTAGAGGCGGTGTTGAGTTCTGTCGGTGATTTTTGATGAGAAAAATTGATTTTTTTTTTGCAAATTACGTCGCCATGGTAACTCGAAATGCCAATAAAAGTAATAGCGCACATCATGGTGCTGAGTTTGTCATTTTGTTGTAAAACTTGTGGGGGTACACATTGTAGTTCAGGCTGCATTAAAGTTGATAGAAGAGCAAGACCCTGTATGGGGTTGTCGTATTTTGTCCCCTGGTGTCTATCCTCATCTGGTGTTGTGTTTATGTATCGCATTCTCCTCATCCTCTGTTTCTGTCTTTATAGGGTTTGTGTTTTTCTAGTGTCTAGCTCCATCTGGTGTTGTGCCTCTGCCCTGCTCCCTTGTGTCTGATTTGTTCTATTTTCCACACCTGTGTAAGCTCACAGGTGTTGTGCGTTAGTCTTCGTCAATTTGTTTATTTAAACCTGTGTGATTGTTTTTACCCTCGTCCTAGCATTGTCTGCCGTCCACTGGTGATGACCTGTCTGTTTCCTGAGTCCTCCCTGATGCTTCATGTAAGTTTTGCTGCCCTGTCAGTTCTTTTTTTTTTTTTTTTTGGTAAAATAAATCCTTTTTTTTATATTGATCCTGAGTCCTTGCCTGCCTGCCTGCACCACTGGGTTCACCAGCACCAGCCTGTTGTGACAGACCCTTTTCAGGTGGATAACAGTAGGTGGCTGTCTTTCTTGGAAGTCCCCAATTAAAGCTGCATCCTGACAGTTTTAGAAAGTTCTGCCAGGGAGGACAAAGAGAGCAAGTAAAGGAGAGCATCTCAGAGACGAAGAAAAGAGCAGGAAAAAATCTCTTTGGGGACTATACTGAAAATGTTGAAGCATCATGATCGTTCAAACTTTGATTTAGGTTTGTTCAAGTTTGCTGCAATCCACAATCTAATAGTGTCGTTTGTGGAGAGCGCAGTGATGTCATCATCCAGTGTCAAATAATTATTAGACTATGGGTTCAAACAGCAGGTGATAGTGGCCCAAATCGGATTTGTTTACCCATATGCCTTAATTTGTGTGTCCAATCTGAACGCAACAAATATGATTTAATTTTTAATCTAACGCAGGTCTTTTTCATATGTAGTATTAAATCGGATACATTCTGTTTTTCAAAGTGACTGTAGTCTGACCAGTCATGTCACATTTCATCTATTTACGTCAGTAAGTAGGGGCATGCAGATCGGTCCAAGTATTGATAATATTGATATCAACCTTGTGGAGTTTAAATCCTGGAACTCTGCATGTCTTCACCTACAGAACAGAAGTCCAGTTGCTTTGACTTTTCTTTAACTAACCATGTCCTGGATGACTGAGAATCTACAGCAACATTTGAAACCAACGTTGGTGTCGGATCATTAACTATACTAAAGTGATGGGATGGATACTTCAATTTTAGTTTATCGCTCTCATTTCAGAAAAGCTATTCTGTACTGGAGTAGCCGGGAAGAAGCCAGATTAAATGTAAACACCAGACGAAACAATCATGTCAGAAAATAGTTTGATCTGTTCTGATTGCACAACTTCAGAATCTACACATACATGTTACCATGTAGCATGCTTATCTACTTCCATAAATACAGGGTGCTAATAGGAACCTCTGTGTTTGCTCTCGCTTCACCGGGGGAACGCAAAGTTTGCACAACACTCAGATGTCAGTTGGAGCTGCCATGTCAAATATGCAAGTGACATTTGATGACACCAACAAAAAAATACTCCAAAGTTGGAGCTGTGTGTTGTGGGTCTTTTGTTGGACTTTTAAAGCAAAGTTAGCACAAGAGGTACGCTGATTTTCCCCATCGCTATAGGATTTGAATAGTAAACATTAGTAGTTTATAGAGGGATTTTCTGACCAATCCTGGAGAGCGGAGGGAGAAATTTTATCCCAGACCAGGTGCAATGGCTGTGCCAGGGTGTGACCACTGGTGATGTTGGCCACCATAAATTAATCTTTGACCACCCCAATCATTTGCGTAAACTATACTTTTAGCTAAATGAAAATTATAGTATAGATGAAATCAGAAGCAAGCAAATGATAGGAGTGGTAGGTTTACAAACATACATACATTATATACTGTATATATTTTTTCTTTTTTTTTCTTTCAGCTGCCCCCTTTTTCAGGGGTCGCCAAAACAAACTAATTAGCACCAAGACTTGGCAATTGTTTTTACACCGTATGCCCTTCCTGACGCAACCACAGACCACCGAGCTACCACAGCCCTCTGTGTGGAACAGAGCGCTGCTATCTAGGGTACCCGGGGGAGCAGATGGTGGGGGTTAAGGGCTTTGATCAAGGGCTCAGAGTGGGGCAAATGAGGGTGGAGGCAGGTGTGGGTGTTCCACCTTTTCCATCCATATTTTGATGTTGTCGGTCTGGGGGTGGAACCGGTGACCTGCAGTAGCCATCTTGGATTTTGATGGGACAACCTAATTTTTGATAGGGACCTTTTTTACACCTAGATCAGTTGTTTGAACTTGATGCAAGTTCAAATGTCTGTCTTAGTGTTTAAGGTTGCCAACCCCTGACCTAGATGCAGCTACACACCAATGGAAGTCGGCATGTTGCTTATTTTTGAAGTTGTCCAGTTCACAACGTTTACATACACGGCAGCAGCCATCTTGGATTTTTACGTGGCAACCCAGTTGTTGAAAGGAACCTTTCTTACACCTAGTTGTGTCCTCCCACCAACATGGAAGTTGGTACCTCACTTAGTTTTCAAGTTATCATGCTCACAGCGTGCACGGACAGACAGACAAAGCGTATTCACAATTCCCCCTCTTTGCTTCGTGCCGGAACTAAATGGGTCACAAATATTTTGACGGAGTTACATATAGAATCCAAAAACTCATGACAAATCGATTAACTTTGTGCTGCAAATATTCAAATAACCATTGTAGTGCACTGTAATGAGAGTTACACATGCTTCTATTTTATCAACGCAAAAACTTTTTCATGGATCAAATACTGGAAGAGCATTCAGTTTGCTCAGCCCATCGACGTGTGTTTATGTACGGACATCACTGTAAAGACTGCAAACAGTCATAGGTCCGGTAGTTTCCAAAAGAACCCCAAAGGATGTCTACTGGGACTGTGGAGTGGTCTCCTGTGGTCTAAAAGCACCTTCACATCAGGAACTAACCACATTATCTACCAAAACCTACAGTCTTTTATTAGAGATAAGTGTGTATTAAAGTTTTCTCTTACTGTAAATGTGCTACAGTCACGTTACCTATTGTAGGCATGCCTAATCAGGCTCTCAGTAATGAAGATGACAACCAAAAAAAATTAAAGTTAGACGAGCAACATATAAAATTACACAAATAATGATTCATAACAAAAAACTTTACTGGATGCCTTCTCAAGAAAACTTTTAAATTGCCAATTATAATAGTTCATAACCAATCAGAAATAATTGTTTTTATAGGTAACAGGTTCATTAAAATTCCAGAAGAAAGCATCCATTGAAGCTTTAATAATAATAATAATAATAATAATAATAATAATAATAATAATAATAATAATAATAATAATAATAATAATAATGAAAAGTGGGCATGTACCTGGGGCAGTGGGTGTGTCTCCCTGTGGAGTTGTCACGGGCGACCTGTTATAGCCAAAGGAAGTGAAAAGTGGAAGCAGTGGCTGATGGGAATGTGGTGGAGGAGGAGGCGGAGGAGGCAGGATATGGATCTGATGGAACGTGGTGTCGTTGCCGTTGACTACCGCGTTGGCAGGGGCAACCGTTGCCGGGGGAACCAGCGGTATCTTTTGAAACTGTTGAGTGCAAATGACTGTGCTGGCCAAACCTAGATAACACCCACCGTGACGACACACAAAAACACACACACACACACACGCACACACAACCAGCCGACAATGAACCACCCGCACACAACAAACAACACAACAGAGAGTTACACATAAGAAAAAAAGGGGAGGGGGTACAGAAATTAAAAACAAAGACTGAAGTTACAAATCAAACCAGGAGGAAGAGGGGAGTGAAGCATGCAGAGGATGTTAATGTGGAAGGCTGGAGGACAAATGTACAGAATGAAGAGGTGGAGGTGGGCGAAAAGGTCAAGAAGGAGTTGTTTTCTCTTAAGATCTATTTAAATTGGCTGAAGAAAAAGTGAATAATTACAAGATAACAGTATGCCATGGAGCATGTCATTAGCTACCAAAATATTAACATTTTCATGTACATTGCACAGTATTTCCACTAATACTGAGGTTTTTGACATGAGAGCCTCTTGCAGTACAAAAAAACTGATTGAGAAGCTGTGATCCTGATCCATTCCTGGTTTTGGTCTAGGGAATTGAGCATGAGTGACTGGTCAAACATTCAGTTCTAAACAGTTACACATTTAAATCGCTGTTTTTATTGCATTAACCAAGTGATGAGCAAGCTTTAAAATAAAGGTATGGTGGTGTGGGGCAGTCTACCCTATTTTAATGTTATGATTCAGGACGCAATAAAAAGAATTTGTTTTTTTTACCAGGCTTTACAAACACTCAATTTTAACCTCAAGTGTTCAAACACACATTAGATTCCATTAGACATTATTTATTACACAAAAATTAAGCAAAATGATAAAGCTGTGTTTGAAAAATGCTGCTTCCTTGAGACTGAAGAGGGAAAGTATCAGCCAGATGCTACTGATCAAATGTGTTGATTAACTGATCATCATCAGGGACCATTATAAGAAGCAGGAGGTTTCACAGATTGCTCCTTTGGAACATACAGGTTTGGGCTAACACAACGCCAAGAGGAATAACATTAACAGGGACCTCTAAGAAGCAACTGTTGCTGTTTATCAATCTAAAAAGGGTTAAAGTTCCTTTCCAAACCATTTAGAGTTCATTATTCTACAGTTTGAAAGATTTTCACAAAAAGAAAACATTTAAGACAACTAAACTTCAATGGAGTGGGCATTCCAGCAAATTCATCTAAAAGTCAGACCATGTTCAGCATCGGTGTCAGAAGCATTTGTAATGTGGGGGAGGGCTGACACTGATGGGAAGGTCTGGGGGTCCTCCCCCAGAAGATTTTGAATAAAGTAGATTCCATTTTCTGCAGTCTGGTGTATTTTAATGGGTTATTAAACGTCTACCTTTACCTACAGTATGTGACCTGAGGTACAATCACCGTTACCTATAGTGAGTGGTAGGAGAACCTCACATTCCCCTTTTGTTACACAGGTAAGTTTGTAAGAGTTAACAGAGGCGTTGCTTGCAAGTTAGATACATTTTATTTGGTTCACAAGAGTACAAGAATTGCCCTGGGCTAAGGTCTAGTGTACTCACAATAAGATCTTAAATATTATATTATAAAATATAAAAAATAGAAAGCTAAAACAGAGGGCTGGCCCTGGGAACCTCTTAGTTGATATGTAGTTAAAACCTGTTTGAATAAATTAGACTGAAAGGGGGAGAAATAAAGAGCAAAATAAATAAATACACCTAGGTGTTCCCAAAAGCCCTGGTGAACACAACAAAGAAATAAAACTCCCCTTCCACTAGTCTCTTCAGTCTAAGAAAAACAGCTTTGAACCTCGGGACATCATAGGTCCCCTTTAAAATAATCCAGAGGGCTGAACACCAGGATTTCCCCTTCCTTTACCTAAAACAAAATCCAGGAAATAGTCTTAATTAATAATAAAAACTACTGAGGCTAAACACTAACTAAAACCAAACAGAAACAGCAGCAGGCCAACCTCCTGATAAATTAAACTGGTCAATATGCTCTCCCCGTGTGTCACACCCTCTAAAAAGGATCTAATCCTTAAAATCAAAAGGAGCGATAAAGATAATACAAAGTTCCAAAAAGGGACAATGTTCAGAACAGACATACCTCTGCCAGGATCAATGTCAAATCAGCATGGGATGTGATCCTCAGCGATCTACTTGCTCTTAAATCTAAGCACCTGCCCTCATAACGAGCCACCTGCGCTCTGTCACCACGACTTCCATATATGGACCTATTTCCGGGGATGAGGTGCCTCGGCTACACCTATATAAGTAAACACTTGATTCAATAACTATTTTAGTTAGCACGGCACAACAAGAAGCAGCCTGACCAACAGCTCTCCTTGTGTGAATAAAGCACGCTTCGCTTCTCTCATGCATCCTAACACCCCTCCACCCCTGACACAATGGTCGACAACTGCCGGCACTAATGTGGCGCTAAGCTAGCGTGCAACGCAGAGGTGTCTCCCCGTCCTCCCCACACCTTGTCCACATAAACCTGAAAGAGATGCGCGTCCTGCCAAGCCAAGTGACCTTGGGGAAACACTGTGGTATGGTTTGTTGTAGGTAACCAGGAAAACCCGGAGTGGACTTTTAATGGTTTGAGTATTATCTTATTAATCAAGTGGAATGGAAAACAGAGTTGGGTGAACTAATATTTCATGGTTTTTAGAAGAAAGTTTGTTGACTCTACAAAATAATATAGAAGTACAACTTAGGTTAGTAAAGTTTCATCTGAATAAGCCACAAGACTTCAGGGACAATGTTCTTTGGGCAGATAAGCCCAAAGTAGAGATATTTTCCCACAATGCACAATGCCAGGTTTGGAGAACACCAAACACACAGCAAATTACCAAAACACCTCATTCAGGGTTATGATCTGAGCTTTTGTTCAAGCATCAGAATCTGCAGACCTTGAAGTACTTGAGTCGACCATGAACTCTTCTGTTAACAATTCTAGAGTCAACTGTGAGACCATCTGTACGACAGCTGAAGATTGGACTAAACTGAGTCATGATGCAAAAGAACAATGATCCTAAACACAGCAGCTAATCTAAAACAGAATGGCGGAAAAAGAAAAGAATGTGTTGCAACAATCCAGACAAAGTCTAGACATCAAATGCTGTGGTCAGATCTGAAACAACATGTTCGGCCACCCCAATCAATTGAGGAAACTATAATTTTAAGCAATATTAAAACTAGAAAGCATAGTTTCCTCAAATTATATAAGTGGTCAGTTTACATATATGTATAGAAGTGGTCATCTTGGATTTTGACGTGGCAACGCAATGTTTGAACGTGACCTTTTGTACGCCTAAATGTTGCCACACACCTAAATGGAAGTTGGTACCTCTTTTTTTTTTTTTTTTACATTTTTGTGCTCACAAGTATGGACAGATGGACAGACAGTATTTCCAATTCCCTCTTTTCGCTCCAAGACAAGGAAGAATAAACACAATTTCTTTGTACAAATAAGTAAAAAAAAATAGACAAAATAATGTAATTTGATGATATATTTATAAATTTATATTTTACTGACAAATACATTATAAAACAATATGATGTTTTGTTCATTGAACCATAATAAGATCCGGCCTTACACAATGTGCTCAGACAAGAATATACTCCTGATAATGTTTTTTGTTAAAGTTGGAGTTCAACTCATATTTATTCAATGATTTAAAACATACCTTGGTTCTGGGGTCACATAACGTGTTTGATACAAAAGAGCGAAAACTAAATGCAAGGGGTTCGTGTTGGTTCAATTTTTAAAAGACAAAAACCTTTCAAGAAACGGACAGACTAACTACCGGTAACCCTCTTGTTAATAAGGTATGACTTTTAAATTGATAACTTCAATATAAAATTAAAAAAATTAAATCATATTGTACTGCAAAGTGGCACAATTGGTAGAGCTGCTGCCTCTCAGTGAGAAGGTCGCCGGATCGAATCCCGGTCCAGGGGTCTTTCTGGGTGGAGTTTGCATGTTCTCTCCGTGCATGTGTGGGTTTTCTCCGGGTGCTCCTGTTTCCTCCCACAGACCAAAAACATGCATGTTAGACTGATTGGTAACTCTAAATTGTCCCTAGGTGTGAGTGAGAGAGTGAATGGTTGTTTGTGTTGTTTGTCTCTATGTGGCCCTGTGATGGACTTGCGACCCGTCCAGGGTGTACCCCGCCCCTCGCACAGTGATTGCTGGACATGGGCACCAGCGATCCCCGTGACCCAAAATGGAATAAGCAGGTAAAGATAATGGATGGATGGATGGATGTACTGCAAAGTGGCACAATTGGTAGAGCTGCTGCCTCTCAGTGAGAAGGTCGCCGGATCGAATCCCAGTCCCGGGGTCTTTCTGGGTGGAGTTTGCATGTTCTCTCCGTACATGCATGGGTTTTCTCCGGGTACTCCAGTTTCCTCTTACAGACCAAAAACATGCATGTTAGACTGAATGGTAACTCTAAATTGTCTCTAGGTGTGAGTGAAAGAGTGAATGTTTTTTGGTCTCGTTTGTTTCTATGTGTCCCTGTGATGGACTGGAGACCTGTCCAGGGTGTTCCCCGCCTCTTGCACAGTGATTGCAGGACATGGGCACTGGCGACTCTTGTGACCCAGAATGGAAGAAGCGAGTAAAAGATAATGGATGGATGGATTGTACTGCCTTATTTGTCAATTTTTAACTAAAAACTTTGTCCTAGGGGTCAAGTGTCACAAAAATTTCATAAATTCCAAAGCAGAAAGGATTTAACAATTGTTTTTCTTGAAACAGTAGAAAAATTTGGGTTTGTTTTAGTTAATGTGGCCTAAACTTGTGGCAAGTGAAAAAGCAATACAGAATTGAATAAGCCACGCCCCCGCCCCCAATATACACTATAAATATTAGGTCTTTCGTTTTCATTTGAAGTATTAATTCTTTCTTTCTTTTGTTGTAGAGTGCTTTAGAAAGTATCTTCCTTTACACATTTTCTGTCTGGAAAAGCAATTAAAAATACACATGCACCCTCTTGTAGATGAGATAAATGATTTCCTGTCCCTAAAGCATTCTTTGTCTGGCTGCAGCACA